CTCTAAATTGCAGAAAACTCTTCGAGCGCAATGGATTCGAATGATTGAGTCATTTTCGCCTTGGTCGCTGGGGGTCACTGACCGCGAGTAGTTGAAACAGAGACTAATTTGAATTAGCTCACCAGTCAGAGGCATTAAGCTCTGTGGTAGTTAGCGCGGCTGGAAAATTCTTCGCTTTGATCACGTTAAACTCCGATTAGTGAGAACAGTGAATGTCGCGTAAACAAGGAAATGTATTGTTATATATATATATATATATATATATATATATATACATAATCTGTATGTTCAACTTCAATGCGTTTGTGTGTGCGGCGATTGAGAAATGAAGAAATTATAGGATAGTGGCACATTATAGCCGGCAAACTCCTCGCTGTTTGAAGAGACTAATTTGAACGAAGCTCCGTCGAGCTCTATTTGCTCAATTGTTCCTCTATAGATAGAATCGAAAGTTATCCGGAAATCGATAAAGCAAGGTGTTGGAATTTGTATCTCTATTTCAGAATTATTCACAGATGTAATATTTGATCTATGTTGTACTTCTGCAAGGGCGGAATTCAGTTTGATTTTTTCTTACGTAGGAATCAATACCGACCTTGGTAGCTTTGTGAACCTATGCTTTGACAGTCGTTACAAATTGAACATACTTTAATTGCACCCTGGCAATGTACCGTTATTTGACGTGCCCATTGTTTCTTAAAATACCCAAACTAGAACAAAGAGGGAATCAACGCATTGCAACAAGGAAGCCATGAGTGATCCTCTAAGGAATGAATCGCGTGTGACGCGCCGTGAAAGTTAGCGGATACATACATGATTGTGATGCATTATTAAAGAGGATAGTTGTTGTTTTGCTGATTACACAGAAACACTTACCGCTGCTGGACTTCCGGCACTTGCACGATGCACACGACCTTGTGGATCACGGAGCATAGAAGGAGATGGTAAGGGAAATCCACTATCATCGATTGAATGAGCAACCTCCGAATTGCCTTCTGGTGGCGAACCTGACTTATGTACTGTGCAAAGTTAGTGGATAATAGAATAAATAAAGGAAACTGTTTTGGTGAGCCAAATAATTGGTCATTCGCACATCAAAATTATTCACCAGACAGCCAACGACATCAATAAATGAACGACCAAAAATGACCTCTTTGAAGCGACCTACAACAACGAAAAAAATACCCATAAGGAAATCACTTAGCCACACACGTTTCATATGTGTGAACCGAGAGAGCAACATTCAAACTAAGCAAAATTTTTGAGCGCAAAACGGATAACATGAAAGAACAGGTAAGACTGGACACTACTGATTGAAGGGTGATTAGAAATGTATTTATGTATGTACGAGAGAAGAACGAGTTATTGCTATTTTCTGGCTGATTAATTAATTAATTTTATTTATTGGTACATTATTTTTAAAAGAGATGACTACACGAATGAGTCGAAATAAAACACGATCATAGACCTAGCCAATCTGAAAAATCTTAGGCAGAACGAGCTACTTACTTGAGACTGTGTTTGTTTCTTCCATGAACGGTGGAATCGATGGAGTCACAGGGGGATTCGGATGAGCTGGTGGGGGTAACTGTTCATCTATGGTGTCATGAAAACCATTGACCGGGTGCACGGGTGGGACGGGATGAGGATAAGTCGGGAAATCCACATTGAGACCATTGCTCATCCCGTGACCAGCTTGTTGACCAAGTGCAGATCCTGGTCCTGGTGATGATGGAGGAATCGAAGGTGGCGGTGGTGGTGGTGGCAACGGTCCGTTTGAATAATTTACATTCGCTAAAGGGATCGGAGGCGGGGCTGGGGATTTCGGCACTGTTACTGAGACCGGGGTAAAAGGTGGCGCGATCGAGTTGCTCATGCCTTCATTAGCACCCGGAGGGACGTAGTGTCCACCTACCCCTGTCTGTTGAATTACCATCTGTGGTTTCTGTTGGCCTTGCCCATGAGCACTTTTGCCTGCATGTGATTTAGCCTTCGGTTTAACGCGCTGTTGAGGGGGATTAAAGGTTAGAAATGGTCGGTAAAAACAAAGCGTGTCGATGACGAAATAAGAGCAATCATTAATTGGAATTAGATCGAAATACATACGAACATACATATCTGTACTTGATGGTTTGGACACTCATTCGATTAATTTCAGTGGTGAACCATAGGGCCTGTAATGTAATTATAATACTTGCACTTTTTAAGCTGATCAGTCTATTTATAATACTGTTGAGGAAAATACTTCAAAGAAAACAACTTTATCACTTACAACGGCTGCTTAGTACGGTGAGCTGAATATACAACCAATGACATAAAAGCACCTCAGAATGACCTGCACAAAACATACAAACACACTGATACTGACATCTGTTTGTGTCCCTCGTCATTTGCAAATGATATGAAATGCGACGAAGTTAATGCCAATCCTCTGTTATAATAAACGATGATAAACGCGTTGGAGACCAGGTTTACATGAGTACGCCTTATTACAATATAACCATTTGAAAAAGACTTAAAACTTTAATAAATAAATAAAACTCCAACCACGTAGAGATTAAACGCATTCAGTAATACTTAAATGACAGCTCCGTTCCCGATTTACGCTCATGATCCCAAGTACGACCTCCTTGAGTGGAGCCCTCGATACATTAAATCGATTATATCAACTACTAATAGCACTATGCATGCATCGTTGAAGACATCGGATTTTTCAGAAAATAGTTGTCCTGGTGGAACACAAGAGGATCAACGTCAAGCCTTAAGAAAGGTCACGAAAACTGCTTGGTCAAAATAGCTAGTGAAATGGAAGTAGCCGCTGAATCACGGAATAACCTAAGACTGTTTCAACTAACTTATGGCACCAAAGTCTGCAGCATACCGGCAACCGAAACCGATTGCGATAAAAGTGGGTAAATAACCTAGAATAAGTAGCCACTTGATTTGTGGGCAGAGTATTTTAGCTAACAGTTCAGCTGGTCTGGTGTTAGCGCGATTACCGGCGGTCGCAGACGGATCTACATGGGTGGTGATATATGATTCCCAACCGAACTAGAAGTACGCTGTTGCAATTATTCGCTGTAGAAAAGAAAGGCAGCCGGATCTGACAGGATTCTTCCAATTAATTCTAAGTTGGGAAGGTGGGTGATTCTCTCGTTGGTTATATGATTGGTCGCAGGAGTGCAACCCTTCATCTTGGGGCGAATTATTGAGGCATCCCAACATTCTAGACGGGATCACGCGACGACCGCGAAATCCATCGTGGGATAAGTTCTTACCTTTACATCACTATTATTACTATTACTTCAACGCTTGACGCCCGTCATACAGACGAATATTTTCAAACAGCAAACAGAATTCCAACCAGGTAGCAGTTGTATTGACTGGGATGAACCAGTCGATTGGACTCCTGGTTTAAGTGTGATCGCATTTGCTTCGTTTCTATTTTCATGAGGTGAATATTAAAGCACTGAAAACGAATGAAACCAGCAAAATAAGGGATGGAAGAACCGAAATAGAATTTTTATGGCAACGAGTAAGCACATGGAAAACAAACATAAGCCCATCACCAAAATGAGTTCGCCTGGTGCTTTTCAAATATCACAGTTTTAACTGAAATTGCGAAACCCATAATGGACATTCACAATGAGTGAAACAAATGGTGAATAATCGGTGAAGGCAAGGTTAGTTGGTCACTTTAGAGAAAAAATGATTGGGACAACACAATTTCGTAGTGTTATCTAAATTCTGTAAACACAAGCAAAATGGGGATGAATTAATGTAGACCCTTGTGAATTGCGGCGCTAACTGACTCCGTCTACAGCCCATTCCATTTGGATTGGTAAGTCACTCGAGGAGTGACCGTTACCTGTACGAAAAACTGGGTAGGACAAATGTTGCTTCTAAGAAAAAAGAACCATAATTATCATGGATCAGACGAGCGATCAGCAGTATGTAGTAGTGTCCAAATTAATTTATTCTATGAAACTCAGTTCAATCACGCTTTAGAATGAGTCTATTCTTTATATAAATTGATAATAGAAAGCTCTCTACGGCAGTAGAAGCTACGAATGATTTGAGCCCAGCTAACAGATTCATTTTCTAGTTTACAAAACCGACTACTTAGAATGAGATAAACGGTGTGGTGTGTATTTCCTTAATTTTGACGTAGCACATTTGATTCACACCACTTAAGCTCATTTACAGCGATGTTCGGACACTGCCGCATTGCACCGGTCTGATGAGACAACCGGGAAGACAATAGGGAATGATTTGCAGATGTTACCCGTTTATCGAATTTCTGCAAATGCGTTTTTAT